TTTCCAATATCATTATTTCCTTTTTAATGGTTTTATCTAATCATCTGATCTAACTTTTAAGCGCCCTCGAGTAGACAATACATCAGAATTTTGTCGACAGTTTGCTACACCGTTTGAATATCTACCCAGTATTGAAGAACTCACGTCCGCACTTTTTCGACCTTTTAACTTGAAAATTCCTCTTTCGCCAATTCTATACCGTAAATGTAATATATTCCGTCAAAACTTTCCTATTTCTGATTATTTTACCGACAAGGATTCTTTTGAGAAAGCACAATTCAAAGCTGAAATTATTTGCTTTCCAGAAGAAATATCTAATTGGTGTAATGTAGCTTTACAGGGATCTGAAGTTGGTTCCAGTGAATTTTCTCGAATATGTGATTGGGATAATTTGCTACGTAACCCAACAGGTGTTTGTAGAAATCGCTTTAGATCAAATTATATGTGGATTACTGATCGCAAAATTGATTCATCAATCACGTTAGCTGGTCTTAGATCAGATTATTGGGAATGTCTTAAAAGTGTCCTTGTTTTTAAAGGAGAAGAAAAGCCAACAAATGATGGCTTAAATGATGCAAAGTTTGAACTTATTTCAAAGATGAAAGCATGGAATCGTTGCCTTTTTGGTGATCTTAAGTATATATTTGCATATGCGGCAGGAGGAAGCCGTATACAATTTTATACAATTGACCCATCATTTAATTTGCATATTATTTCGGATATTTATAATATACGAAACTTGGAGGATCGGGTTAAGGTAATAAAATGAACCATAATTTTGTGATTCCCGTTAAGCTCCTCGTTATTGATTGATTATCCCATTTTATATTAGGTTCTTGTTAATATTTTCAACATCCATCGTATTATACGTTCTATGGAACCATTTTTGCCTGATTTTGTTGTAAATTGGGACAATAATTAGGAGAACGTATGGTGGCGACATTTTTATCTCAGATTCTGAGATTGAGAAAAGGATTTTCTCATTTTCAAATTATTTCTACAGCGATATAACCGTATTAACAAATATATACAAAAATACAAAGAATGTTCAAAATCTTGTGCATGCAGTTAAAGATCCAATGACGACATATACAAGGTCACGCTTGCTCCCGTAGGAGTTAAACGGAAACCAAGAACAGAACTAGAAGTTAAAATTGCCATTCGTTGTATATTGGACGCGCTCGTGGCTCTACATGAGTTAGGATATGTTCACCGAGATATTCGGTGGGATAATATTCTGCAATTGAATGATTATAGTTGGATATTAATTGATTTGGAGTGTGCTGGCGTTGATGGTGAAAGTGTGCACTTTGATCTAAAAGGCTGGGCACCTGAGGCAATTGAAACCAAAGTATACACAACAAAGGCAGATGTTTATATGGTAGGAAGGCTACTTAGAAGAGTTTTCATTACATTTTCTGAAGAAGCGCGTGCGTTTGAGAGAGCTACCACTGAGTTTCGTTTAACAGCTCAAGAAGCTCGTCAACACTCCTGGCTCTCAGATATTAGAGATTATACCAAATAATTTACGGATGCTATAATGATAAATTTGTCAAGTTGGGGGGTTTTTTTTTTGCAATAGATAAAAACTGGTTGTAATTGTATTGTAAAAGTTGGTCTGGATTGTACTTTAATCATCGTAAAGTTTACTTTGTATGCAAGCGACATTTACCACTTTGCAATAAGCACCATTT